ACCCATCAGAGTCAGACCTTGTCTCGGTGGATCTCGTAGTTAGACTGGTCCCATTTCTGCTGCAGGAACCAGTTAGCTGCAGGTTTCAGAGGCCGGTAGGACTTGTGTGTTGTGGAGGACGAAACCTGCAGAAATTGAAAATGAATAAATAAATAAATATATATATATATATAAATGAACAAATAGATAAGATTCACCGACAGATTTGAAAGCCAGTTTACAGTCAGTTGTGGAGGATTTCTCTCCACCGTTACCCTCCCATGAAGCATTTTTAATTGAGGAACCCGACGATGAGAACGAGAACGAGGACGAGCAGCCAAATTTTCCGGAAGGAATCACCCCATATTTATATGAGCCTCCCGCGAACCACGGGATAGCCACGCCCTCTAGTAATAGATTTTGACCGGAAGAGAAGAGAAGTCGTTTCGAGGGGGGAGGGAAGGGTAACGTATTTGATTAAAGATTATAAGGGGACATGAATTAAAAAAAAATAATGAAGTGCACAGATAAATCATTTATAATAAACACTACAATATTACATATAAAAATACGAATGGTAAAATCTGATTTCATGACGACTTTAAAGCTTAACAACAGAGCTTAGACTTTTAGCCTAAATTCAGTTGACATTTATTTTTAGATCTAATAATAACAATAATAATCAACACTCAAATAACAAATTGTATGAAAACATGTAAACTGCACATAAGGCAGTTTTTGCATTAACATGTTTTTACTCTAATTTGTTATTGAAATATAATAATTTACACAGTTGATGTTATTTTCATGACAGATATTTTAAACATACATTAAATAATCAAGATATCATTAACAGGTTAAGTAAAATATAATATATAGGTTAAAGGTGCTCTAAGCGATGTCACGCATTTTTTAGGCCAAAACATTTTTTGTCACATACAGCAAACATCTCCTCACTATCCGCTAGCTGCCTGTCCCCCTGAACACACTGTAAAAAGACGCGGTCTCTGCAGACATCCCAGGCGTCACACACGGCAACAAAAACAAACTGTAGCGACCCGCGCCACGAAACATAACAAACTGATCCAGCCAATAACCGACAAGAAGAGTTTGGGGGGTTAGTGTGCGGATGAGGAGGAGGGAGGGTCTAGCTAGCCTCCGTTTTGTTTGACAATACTTTAAACGTCAACAAGAAGTGATAGACACTCGACATCGCTTAGAGCACCTTTAATACAGTGCATTTATTTAGTGAAAGAGTTAGCGAACCAACAAGCTGTGGACACTGAAGGACTTGCCTGAGGTAAATATTTACATGTGAAAAACTAAGCGTTTTATTGACGTATTTCCGCTGTTGAAACACTGATTGAGTGAGTTATGATGTATACTGTATACTGGTATACAGTATACTGTATCTTTCAACATACCTTCGGGTGTTCATTCATGTTTATTCTGTAACTGAGGAAGAGATGATCACGTTTACTCGCGCTGCCGCTTTAAATGAGGAGCCTAGTACAGTGATCTGACACGCCACATCACAGAGCGCCAAAGCGGCATTTATTGTTTGAATTTTGTGATCAAATAGACAGAATTTGAAAGATTACACCTTGCTTATTATCGAAAGTAACAAAACACTGAGCTTATTGCGATTATATGTGGTTAATGGTGGTTAGGCAACAACGCTGTATTCGTTGTGTACACATAAGACATGAGGTGCAATGAGCCGGGGCTGGGCGGGGCAGCAGGGGGCGGGGCGTGTTCGGGACGCCAGTATCGTGGGTGGTGTATCGCGTTTTTTTGGTTCGGTTCGAATATCGTTACACACCCCTACTGTTTATGGTCTAGTGCCCGGTTGCATAAAGCACCTTAAGTGTAATTTTCCCTTAAGTTCGCCCTTATGTTTCCCTTAAACCTAAGGGTGTTGCAGAAAAATCCCCGTAAGTGTTACTTAAGATTTTTTTTTTTAAGTGAAACGTCATAAACACTTAGAATTTCCCATAAATGCTGTTTTTTCACTTAAGTAATCCCTGAAAAAGCGTTAAGTGTTGCATAAAACCCCTTAAAGGTGCATTGCGCAACAGTTCATGTTAAAAATACCCGTTTTTCTAACCCATACATGCTTAAACAATTGCCTGATGGGCTGAATGAGCCCTTCTCTGATCACTGCGATTGCCTCTTTAATCCTGTACAGTAAAATTAACAAGAGGGATTTGGGCCGGAACGTGAGACTGGGCGTGACGTCATGCGCGTTCGCGCTCCCCTGGCTATGTCTGGCAGGTTTGTGTATTCGCCGCCATTCTCCGTATCAGCGAAGACAACTCGAGCGACAAAACTTCAGTCAACTTTCGACAAAAGTAGAAGATGGATTCAAAGAGATCGGCTTGTAGTTCATTCTGGTTGCAGTTTCGCTTGTCGCCAGAGAGGGCATAGTTCTGCAAAACCTCAGAAACTTGCGCAATGCACCTTTAACGGTCATTTCCCTAAGTATAACTTAAGGTTTGGGAATCGTAACCTTAAGAGTGACGCGGACAAAAATAAGACGACATGGCTGAATTTATGGAACCAGCTGAAGATCATAGGGAATAGGCAGAACCCTTTGGACCAACTTAGCGATGAAAAATTGTTGCAAGAATACCGATTTGATCGACGCGCAATATTTGGCATCGCTAACCAACTAGACGGCTGTCTGTCTGTCATTACACGCGACTCGCATGTAGACTATCACAACGTTAAGTCAGTGCGCGCACGGAGAGTGTGTGGCCGACCCGTGCAGAAAAAAATTCACAGGAGAACGAGCTGATTCTGTGTTTTAAAAGGAATCATGACAGAAGAAAACAGGTATGCTATGGAAATACTCAGCTGTATTTCGAGACACAGAGCCAGAAGTGCATTCACAAAACCTAAACAAATGCCAAAGCAGGAGACGGTGAACAGTACACTTTCGGAGCTAACGCGGTGTTGCGTGATAGCGTCACTGGACTGACACGTGATATGCCGACATGTTAGTGTTTTGCGCATCTATGGCAACAACAGACTTTTATAACGTGAATCCAGGATCGCTGTCGTGAAACACTTAAATGTTTCCCTTACCTAAGAGAACCGTTTAAGAGATTATATGCAACACCCTAGTGTTGTCACGATACTAGAATTTCTAACTTCGATACGATACCTTGAAAAATATCGATATTCGATACCACAGAGAAAAAAATTGCCACAATATTAAGGGGGTATTTTTTGTATTTAAAGCTAAATATAACAAGTCTAGAACATGACAATGAGGTATATTTTACATGAACAAAAATGTCCCGAGTTCTATTTGTTAATATTTTTTAATTGGACCAGAGCTTACATGATCCGTTGTATTTTTATTACCTACTGTTATCAAAGATTAAAATATACTGTAACAAAAAAGCACTTAACAGTATCAAATTGGAGGATAGAGTGTCAGTAATGTATAATAATAAGATTAAACATTCAATTTTCAGTTAAAGGCATTTCATTATTGAATTCAGAGATGCCATTGTCTAGCTGTTTAGTTTAATTAGTATCTGTGTAATCAAATTGATGATAATCGCTAATGAAGGAAAATTGCAGAATTAAATAATAATTTTTGAATAAAGTTAAATAGGCACAAGCTAATTTACATTTGACCACAACAATATTTACTTGTCTAAGATTCCTCAGTCAGCTTATCTTAACTTTAAGAAAACGGTGAAAATACTAGACAACACAGACTCATATCAACAACAATACTAGGCCATCTTGGTTAATGTTTCAGAAAAGTTAAAATGAGAAGAGTTACATTATTTCTTTTAGGATTTTTTTAGCAGTGGGGGCAGGTCTGTCCAAATAACAAACACCCCTGATGCTGAGCATATATGCTGCTAAATGGTACCCCTGGAGCCTGTTCCTTAAGTCTGTTCAACTATAAAATAATTTAAAAAAATTAGTGATGTTAGGGATTATTGATAGTCAAACAATCTTTTGGGTGCCCGCAGCACGCTCACAGTGTGAAGCGCGTGTCCGCGTATTCTCCGACATGCCTGCTCGCGGTGTGTTTTTTAATGCGTGTGCGCGCTATTCTCCGACATGCCTGATCGCGGTGTTCTTTATCAATCAACCAAAGCCGGTCGATTCAAAACCATTCACTTCACTTTTGCTATTTAACCAGAGCGAATGAGACGAGTGCGTCACGTGTGGTGTTTGTCAACGCGCCTTTGGAGAGAAGTGAAAGTGACCGCTCAGCTAGTATCGATACTTCGGGAAATTAGTATTGGTACCGTTCAGATATTTCAGTATCGATATTTATCGAAATATCAATATTTTTGACAACACTACAACACCCTTAAATTATTCTCTTAGGTAAGGGGAAATCGCCCCTTAAGTATAATACTTAAGGGAAAAACCTAAGGTGCTTTATGCAACCGGGCACAGGTACTATTTATTTTAGCGGAAGGAAGCCATTTAATGATTTTACGTAAAACAAGTAACATTTTGATGCGTATTTTTGCCTTTGAGTCGCCATGGTATTGCAGTGAAGTGCAGTTTTTTGTGTGCCTTGTAATCTTGAATCAGAATAAGTTCCTCTTGCAGCATCTCTACTCTTCTCTGATGACGAGGGCGGGGCTACAACCTGTCACTCACATGAGGACAGCCAATAGCAAACCACAACCAGACAATCAATTCCCTATGCACTAAATTAAGCCCCGCCCTACATTTTTTCTTGTTCGAGAAGCTGTTGTGACAAATCAGATCCTCCCTTGAAATCGGGTTGATTTTTATCTCAGTAACTTAAGTCCTAAATGCTTTTTTTGTTGTAAACGCCTCTTTAAAAATAAAGCTCGCTCAAGTACTGAGGAGCTAAACCATTTAGTGCTTTGAAATAATAATTTCGAACCCACATGACATGCTTTTTTTCACAGGCATTAACAAGAGCAGCGTGAGCATCTGAAATGTGTGGAAACATGATGAAGGCGAGAAAATTAAGAAGAAATTAGCTCCGTTTTTTAAAGTGTGAATTAGGATCAAACCTGTTTGTTGGTCTCTCCTCGTGGATAGTGTGCGAGTTTGTCTCTATATTGCTGGACCTTTTCAAAGTCGGCCTCCCAGAGTTCCCTCCTGTAATCCGACTTCTGCGTCAGGATTCGCTGGTTGATCCGATGGTTTTCTGCTGTCAGCTCTAGAAGCTCCTCCTTCTTTTTGTGTGTGTTCACACTGTAAAACCAGATATATAACATTATCATAACATAACATAAATAAAATGTTTAATTGTCAAATGAAATAGAATATTTTTTTAATGTTTAATTTAATTTTATTTCTAAATAATTTCTACATCTTGTTTAGATGTTATATACATGAGACGCAGCGGGAGATCCGACAACTGAAACCCAGATCAAATAAACACCTCACTGAGTTACTATGTTAACCAGCTACAGATTGACGTATGAGCACACAAACACACACACACACACACACACACACACACACCTGAGCTGTGGGCAATGGTTCCTGTTGTCCACCAGTCCTTTAGAGCGAGTGATAGCAGAAAGATTGCTGGCCAGACGATGATTGTCTCTCTCTATGATGGACATCCTTTCTTTCTGCAACTGAAGACAAACACTGTTATCATGCATTTCATCTACTCCACGTTACTTCATAACAACACATCACTGTAATCGGCAATAGTGCTGTTATAGAGCTCACAAAATCATTTTTGTCTGCTTATAGGCTCATAATTATTGGAGTACGTTCAACTGTTTGGTTATCAAAATATCTTCTTTTGTGTTCAGCAGAAGAAAGAAACTCATACAGGTTTGGAACAACATGAGGGCAAGTAAATGATGACAGGAAAATACATTCTTGTTTACATATTAATTAATCAGATACCTGGACTTTCTTCAGATTGTGTCTGATATGCGCCGGTGTTTCGATGCCCTTGGTGTCGACTACAGGTTTGGCCTCTCTCACCTGAGACAGAGACAGAGACAGAACATCAACATATACATATATATACACACAATCACACTCTCTCTCTCTCTCACACACACACAAACACACACACTCTCTCTCTTTACTGAAATAAAATTAAAAAACTTATTCCATTTGAGCTATGGTTGCCAACATTTCTAATTTTCACTTAACGTTAGTGGTTTTATTCCTATTATCACTGTAAAGCCGCTTTGGAACAATCTACATGGTTACAAGCGCTATATTAATGAAGATGACTTAAGTTAGTGACTTGATGTACTAAAATAACTCAAACTGAGTGGCCCAAATCTATCTATAAATTACAGGAACGTCTGTCTGTGTGTGTGTGTGTGTGTGTGTGTGTGTGTGTGTGTCTGTTACTCGCATATCTCTCGAACCGTTAGTCCGATGGATTTCAGACTTGACGGGTGTCTTGCTACGGGTGCAGTGCCGAGTTTAACGTTGTTTGGATTAGAAATGCAAAAGATATCGGTAAAAGAAGCACTTAGAAGGTTGTGGTTCAAAAATAATCATTCTGACATAAACACTGTCAGCTAAACATGAAGTCAGCTACATGTTTACTTCTGAATATTATATTTTATTCACGGCCACCATTCGTAGAAGCCTAATCACAAACTGTTTGCTCAAGCGTAGTGTTTTCTCAGAGTTCACTGTGTCGCTGCTCCCTGAATCCTGTAGTTCAATTTTCCATATTTATTGTATGTCATTATTATGTCAGTATCAGTATTTGCTTTCTACCATGCACAAATAAAAACTTCACTGAACTTTTGCTGTGTAGTTAATTGTAACAATGAGCACTCAAACACATTAAACCAACAATTACTAAAAACACACACAAAAACAGATTTTGTACGGGCACTTTGCACTAGTTACTTAAATTTCAAGCAATATTAAACATAACGTTACTAAAAAAAAGCAGACAACCAAAACCCGTCAGAGTCAGACCTTGTCTCGGTGGATCTCATAACTGGACTGGTCCCATTTTTGCTGAAGGAGCCAGTTAGCTGCAGGTTTCAGAGGCCGGTAGATCTGGCTCTTCTTTCCTTGATCTTTTGACATTTCAGAGGCCGTTATAAAAATATAAATACCCTTTCAAAGTATCAAAATTCAAACCTTCCTTGATATTCCAAACACGTTTGTAACCAAGACTAGAAAACAACAGCGGAGTTCTAAACAGTGGAGGCTTGTGACGTCACAGGGCAGCGAAAGGCCGCCTTGGCAGAAGGTCAGCGCTACGTCACATCACTGCGTCTTTGGCCCCGCCCACTGGAGCGTGGAGGAAAGATCGACAAACGATCCTCCTAATGCTGGGATAGTGGGGTTTCCCTTTTTTCAACAGTGTGAATGTCTCAGCAGTTCATTATTTTTTTTGCTTGTATTCGGCGCATTTCACTATGGATTATTTGGTAAATTTCGGCGCAGGCTTTGCCACAAACATGTAAGTAATAATCATGTTTATTCTAGTGCCTGATCTGTGATTTCTGATGTTACAGTTACTCAAGTTCAGACAGATTATCTTTCTCTCCAAATTTTTAATGCTATTTATGCATCAGTAAATCAAGCCACTGACTAAACGATCAACTTCACATCGTTTCTCTTAGTAGGATGAAAATAATCTTATTTAAAGTGAAGTTTGATTTCTGTCTTGCGGTTATTTACCTCATATGAAAAACGATGTCACATTATATACAGACTTTATAATACACTAAGACAAAAACACTTCCCAAACATTTCCCAAATATACCCTGAATTCAAATCCATATCAGACACACAGAAAATCCCATATTTACTAGGAGAAATGCCCAAATGTGAAATAATTGCTGCAAAATATGTCTCCTCATGCCATGAAATGAGGACAACCAGTGGAACCTCAGATGGATAAATAATTGTACAAATAAATTACAAATAATTGTTATTTTGATTGTTTGATATTTTAGTAATTGTTTTATTTTTTATTTTATTTTTTATTGTTCACTTTTATTTATCTATATGTTTGTATATGTCTATTGCTTTGGCAATATTGTGCTATTTTACACATTCATGCCAATAAAGCTAATTTGAATTTGAATTTGACAGACAGATAGATTGAGACAGACAGATAGAGACAGACAGACAGACTGATAGATAGAGACAGACAGATAGAGACAGACAGACAGACTGATAGATAGAGACAGACAGATAGACTGATAGATAGATAGAGACAGACAATTCTTTTAATTTAATTCTTTTAACTTTTAATTTAAATAAATGTTGATTTTAAATCAGCCTACTTCAGTGTGATATGTTACCATATTATCATGCTTAATTGAATAATTGTAATGTGATTATCAGATGCAAATATGTAAATCAAAGAATATGGGTGGTTGGCGGGTGGATTATTATTTATTTTTAACAACAGATTCGAGTGACTCAAAGTGCACCAGATTAATGAATTTATCTTTAAAATGTACAAAATTTTCTCCCGAGTATCAAAACCCCCAGACCCCCCTAGTGTTACGATTTTACCACCTCCGCCTCATTTTGAGCCAGGAAAAACCCTGAGATGGACAGACAGACAGATAGAGAGATGGATAGAGATGGACAGACAGACAGACAGATAGATAGATAGATAGATAGATAGATAGATAGATAGATAGATAGATAGATAGATAGATAGATAGATAGACAGACAGAGAGAGATGGATAGAGATGGACAGACAGACAGATAGAGAGATGGATAGAGATGGACAGACAGACAGACAGACAGATAGATAGATAGACAGATAGATAGATAGATAGATAGATAGATAGATAGATAGATAGATAGACAGACAGACAGAGAGAGATGGACAGACAGACAGATAGATAGAGAGAGAGATGGATAGACAGACAGATAGATAGATAGAGAGATGGATAGACAGACAGATAGAGAGATGGATAGACAGGCAGATAGATAGATAGAGAGATGGATAGACAGACAGATAGAGAGATGGATAGACAGACAGATAGAGAGATGGATAGACAGACAGATAGAGAGATGGATAGATATGGACAGACAGATAGATAGATAGATAGATAGATAGATAGATAGACAGATAGAGAGATGGACAGACAGATAGATAGATAGAGAGATGGATAGACAGACAGATAGAGAGATGGACAGACAGACAGACAGATAGATAGAGAGATGGATAGACAGACAGATAGAGAGATGGACAGACAGATAGACAGATAGATAGAGAGATGGACAGACAGACAGACAGATAGATAGATGGATAGACAGACAGATAGAGAGATGGACAGACAGACAGACAGATAGATAGAGAGATGGATAGACAGACAGACAGACAGAGAGAGATGGATAGAGATGGACAGACAGACAGATAGATAGAGAGAGAGATGGATAGACAGACAGATAGATAGATAGAGAGATGGATAGACAGACAGACAGATAGATAGAGAGATGGATAGACAGACAGATAGAGAGATGGATAGACAGACAGATAGAGAGATGGATAGACAGACAGATAGAGAGATGGATAGACAGACAGATAGAGAGATGGATAGATATGGACAGACAGATAGATAGATAGATAGATAGATAGATAGATAGATAGATAGATAGACAGACAGATAGAGAGATGGACAGACAGACAGACAGATAGATAGAGAGATGGATAGACAGACAGATAGAGAGATGGACAGACAGACAGACAGATAGATAGAGAGATGGATAGACAGACAGATAGAGAGATGGACAGACAGACAGACAGATAGATAGAGAGATGGATAGACAGACAGATAGAGAGATGGACAGACAGATAGACAGATAGATAGAGAGATGGACAGACAGACAGACAGATAGATAGATGGATAGACAGACAGATAGAGAGATGGACAGACAGACAGACAGATAGATAGAGAGATGGATAGACAGACAGATAGAGAGATGGACAGACAGACAGACAGACAGATAGAGAGATGGATAGACAGACAGATAGAGAGATGGACAGACAGATAGACAGATAGATAGAGAGATGGACAGACAGACAGACAGATAGATAGATGGATAGACAGACAGATAGAGAGATGGACAGACAGACAGACAGATAGATAGAGAGATGGATAGACAGATAGACAGACAGACAGATAGATAGATAGAGAGAGAGATAGATAGAGACAGACGGGCCTGTTAGAAACCAGTGCAATCATTCACCCTGACATGTTATCTGTCTGTTCACTAACACACCTTTACAGAGGGAAAACACACAATAACCTCACAGAAAAGACCATTTCACATGTTTTTGTAACCATTTCACATGTTTGACTTTTAGTGATGTTCATGCTGTTGTCACTTTACATTGATGGAGTATAAACTGCTGTAATGTGACTTTATTTCAAAAGCAATAACAGCCATAAATATGAAATTAACATCACATAAAAATAACCTATTTTTAAATGCATCAAATGTTGGTTATCCTTATTTACTGTATGTATAGTAAATCTGTATTCTATATATTCCTGAATTTAGATTTTTGATATATGTATTTTCCTCTATTGTAAGTCGCTTTGGATATAAGCATCTGCTAAATGCATAAATGTAAGTGAGTGATAACAGGGCCGCAAAACTTGCAAACTAAAAAAAGTAAATGGTAAATACAAACAGAACAAGATATTTGACACTTGTAGGACCGAAAACAGCATCACATGATGGCATTGTGTGAGGAACAGATGCAAATTTAAGTAATTATTATTAACTGAATAATTCTACCTATGAGAAATCAGTTCAAATAATGAGTAATTTTACCGTGACTCCTTTATTGAAATGTGCAGGACTGAGAGATTCTCGAGGGTTCAGGAACAGATTAGATTGGGTTTACTGAAGCTTGACGTTCTGTAATGGCACAGTGTGTTTTCTCACAGCTCAGACACACATCGCTGAGGATCTCATGAATGCTTCATCTACATGCAGGGCTTGTTGTGGATTCAGTGTGTGTGTGTGTGTGTGTTTCAGCTCAGTATTTTGTGACCACCATGGTGATTGTGGGTCTGTGGGTCTGGTGTTGCAGTATCACTATCACGATCCTGACGGAGCCAAGATGCCACGATGGGTAAGAGAAACGCTCTCCATCACTATCTGAAGCAGATCTGTTTTTGTTTCATTTTTCCTCTTTTTTGTGTTTTGTTTAAATTTCATTATTAATATATTTTTAATTGTGCATGTATTTTTTACTTTTTGCTACATTTATTTATTTGTTTAAGTTGTTTGTTAAACTTAATTTTTAATTTTGTTTATTATTTATTTATTAGTAAGTTAGTTACTTGTTTGTTTCACTTTTTATTTAGTATTTTATTTCATACATTATTAACATTTTTTTTTTTAGGGCTGTCAAATGATTAATCACGATTAATCACATCCAAAATAAAAGTTTTTTTTACATATATATATTTGGGTGCACTGTGTATAATTATTTTGTATATATATATAAATACACACACATGCATGTATATTTAAGAAAAAAATATTATTTACATATAAAATATTTATATTTATATATAATATAAATTATATATAAATCTATATACAGTATATACATGAAAATATTTCTTAAATATATACAAGCATGTGTGTGTATTTATATATATAAAATAATTATACACAGTGCACCCACATATATTATGTAAAAAAAACTTTTATTTTGGATGTGATTAATCACGATTAATCATTTGACAGCCCTAATTATTTTATGTATTTTAAATTTAAAATTTTAAAAGCTTACATTACTGAAGCATTTATGTATTTATTTATTTATGGATGTATTATCCCATCCCGTTTATATTTTTATATATGTATGTGTTTGTTTGTTTAGCTTTTTATTTAATTTTATTATTAATATATTTTAATTATGTGTGTATTTTTGCTACTTAAGCTTTATATTACCAAAGCATTTATTTATTTGTTTAATTTATCAAGATTTTTATCTTAGTATTTAGTTTTTATTCCATACATTATTAATATTAAAAAATGTAATTCAATGTCCAAATACTTCTGGGGGCTACTGTATATACTGTATGTTTAA